GGTTCCCAGTACATGACTGCTCACCACCTAAATTACAGGTGGATTGTCCTCTGCAGTCTAACGTATTTAGGCTTTGCCAAGGCTAGTGTGTCCCACACTCTGGGTTTGCTCTGTCATTTCCTTTGTAATGGTTGCAAGTTCTCTACTCCATCCTGTTCCTCTTTCTGGGTAAGGCTGAAGGCTCCTGGGTTGCTCCTCAGAACACCTCTTCTGGTGACAGGCCAGCTGCAGGAGGACAGTGGAGAGCCCTGCTCCCACAGTGCCTTCTCCTGCTAGGAGAGGTCACAACTGGGTGCATCACAAGCTTCCTACAACTTCAGGCTCCTGAGGCACTCTCAGCTTGAGAAATTTCGACCAGGAATAGCAATGAGAGTTCTTTGCAAGGCATTAATTTGCAAACATGGTGTTGTATATTTGTTTGATATGGTGCATATTATTTATATAAATAAAGGTCTTACAAATGAGCATCTAATTTTGTCATTATTTTGGTACCATGTAAGTGAGGGAAGAAAAATTTGACCCAAAGGATTGACATGTCATCAGGGACAACCTGGCACTATCCTATTAAACTGTCTTTATTTTTTTACTTGTAATTTTGAATTGGCAACAATGTCACCCAGCAGATCAAGGCAGATAAAGTGTTCCGGTTACTTTGGAATACCACCCAAAAGCTGTGATGTAAATGCAAAAGTTATTTGAGATGCTTCCTTCATTGTTGGCAAGCCTATCGTCCCCATTCATTACTCGTAATTGACCTAAGTGGACACAGAATGCTGACCCAATATACTTCACAAAACGGGAAGAGAAGTAGATACGTAAAAAGGATCTCTATCTTTCAACTTTCGGTATTAGCCTGTACAACACTGTTGTCCTTCTCTGTGAAGTTGTTGGAGAGCTACCAGCAAAAGTAGCATTTTCTAAAAGAGCAGTTTAGAAAATCCAGCAGCTGGCTTTTGCTTAAAGGCTGACTAACACTGAGTTGAAGATACTTGTTGAAACATGACAATTGGTGACACTGTGCAGTAGGAGATTAAATGCAATGAGCACATGCAGAGAAACACAAACTGCATTCAGAATACATCCTAGGTTTAGATTCTTCTGAATCTAAAGCAGATTAAATTCAGAGTGGACTGTTCAGCTAATCCATGTGATTCAGCTATAGGAATTTAGTTCTTCTGCTAGAGATTTTTTAACCACACTTTTTCTGTTCTCAAATACCACTTCATATTATTTGTTACAAGATATTCTTTAATTTGGCATTATAAAGTAATTAAACCTCAAATGCTTTAGGTGTCTATGCCAAGAATAACTCCCTAGGGGATGATTTTTATGTAGTATCATTATTTTTTCAACCTAAGGTATTTTACTTTCTTTGCAGACTGGGTATATAGTGAACATTTCACTGATGCTTATACACTTATCTTTACAGCCTATCCCTTATGGAGGTAGTGGCTGTGCTATTCTTGGTGTCTCCTTCCTTTATATGTACCTGGGCAGAAAGTAACATCTCAAGAGGACTGTGGCAAATATACCTCAAGGCCCCAGTCACCCGAGGTGTGGGAAATGGGGGCTTGTGATTTCTGGGAGGAAGTTTCCTCCCCTGACTGTGGGGATCAGCCAGAGCAGAGGCATATGGTACTAGCCCCAGTCTTACTTGGTTCATCTGCCCACAGTTTGCAGTAATAAACAAGGCACAGGCACATCTGAATAGCTGTACAGGATTGGTTTTTGATAACAGACGAAACAGGACAAGTGGGATGGGATGGCTATTGGTACAGCATGGGAAACTGGGCATGGCTGCCATCTCCTTGGACACCCCTATGGCACCCCTTATGAGGGTGTTGGCTGGAGGAATGTTGTTCCTAGCTGGAAACAGCTCCTGAAGTCCAGCTCTCAACAACACCCAGAACATGCCCACTGAAGAGTAGGACACTGCATCATTCCCACAGCTGCACACAGCATTACTCCAGCTCAGTGCACAGTGCCCTTGGACTTTGCAACATAACAAACAGATAATCATGAAACAATGCCAAAACACACTCCAGACCCTTGCAAACACAAGCATGTCTTCCCCCCACTTGCTTTCTCTTTCTCTCCCATATGCTGATACTTGGAAGTCAGGATAGAAAGGGTCTTCAGGGTCATGGAGTCCAGTCCCCTGCTACTTGTCCCTTCAGGGGGGGTTTCAGCCTGGATGTATTCATGTCCAGCATTATCCTCTGGTTCGAGTAGTTTTTTTCTCCTCTCCCTGGTGCTGACTCTTTAGTGTTCCTATGAGCAGAAATTTCATTATTTAATCACATATGTACTAAATATTCGCAGAAATGGAAGTCAGATTTGGTTCATAGAAGAAACATTGGAGGAATTTGGCAGAGAAGAGACCACTTGTTCAGACATAGCCAGTGATGATGAGCAGAGCCTCTGAAGGGGAAGGAGAAAGTGGGTTGCTGCAAGACCAGAGGTCAGAACAGAAGGGGAGGCACCAAAGGTTGGCAAGTATTTTGAAGGCTACCTTTGTTTTATAAATCTCATACATTTTTGTGATACGCAGGTTTCCCCCCACGCTTTCAAACACGCATCAGATATAGCTAAAACTCCATTGTTGTTGCTGCTTTGGCATTGTTACAATTAACCATCCCAGCCAAAGGACTGCTGGGGCTTTTAAAGGCATGGGGCTGATATTGAGAGAGGTAATCTTCCTGCCTACAAGGGGCTTGTCTCTTCACATGGGTGAATGCACCCAAGTTCCAGGGCAGGGAGGATGTTGATGTCTCCACACTATAATCTTCTTATTAGCTTACAGTTAAGAACTATCCTACCCTACAAGTTGGCACAATGTTTATACCGGTCCAGAGGGACAGAAGAGAATGAGAGCAGACCAGCTGCCTTCTGTGGTTACCTTTATGGGCTAATAGTGTGGTAGACCCACCCCTAGGCCCTTACATGCCAGTAGGAGCACAGCAGAGATACAGCAGATTGCGAATACACTCTGGCAGACAAAACTGGTGTGAAAAATTTCACTGGGCTGACTTGGAACAGGCAAGCTTCCAGACCACAGGAAGTTTGTCCTCCTGCCTTTAGTGGGCAAGGCCTGAGCCCTGAGCATGAATGGTTATGGACCCTGCTGTACTCAACTACACATCGAACAAGTGATTTGATTTCTCTCTAAGGAAACAAAGAGTAAACACCATAATGACCAGAAAGACAGCATGTGACATCCAGCATGAGGTCCTGTACAGGAGGAAAAATACTTTAGCTGTGCTATACACACTTGTGCTGGTTTAAAGGTAAACCAGCAGGGGAAATGAACTCAACCCAAAAGAGAAATTATAAGTCAGAATAACAATTTAATAAAATAATACAATAAGTACGATTATACAGACAAGCAATTTGGTTTTAACCCACAAACCCCAAATGTATAACCCAGCACCCTGGGGCATGAACAAAGTGGTGTTTCTTGGGCCCCCCCCAAAGTAAAGGGAGAGGGGAAAAAACCTGCTGGTGGGAGAACTGTTGCAGTCTGGTCAAAACTGGTGGTTGCAGTCCAGTTGAGAGCGGTGATCTGCAGTCTGGTTGAGTAGCGTAGAGCTTTGCAGGTCTTTCCTCTGGATCCACGAGTGGTAAAAAGAGTTCCAAAACTTCCAAGTTTATATATTCTTCAGTTCAGGGTAGGGAATGCTCAGTTCCTTCCCTCAGAGTGGGGATTTTCCATAAAGGGTATGAGGATGCTCAGTCCTTCCCTCAGAGCGGGAATTCCATAAAAGGGTATGAGGACAGGAACATCTACAGGCCTCTACTGCTAACAATTTCTGGGAAATGGCATGGAAGGCTATAGAATACACAGTTTTGGGTTACACCCATACCATGATGAACTGGTCTCAGCTGTCCTAACTAGGACAACACTGCTTGGAGTTATTTTATGTGCTTAATGCAGGAGTCACTCCCCACCAGTTGTGCTCAGCCTTAGGTATACTCTCATACTGCAGGGACTGAAGCTGTTTCCTCAGCCAGCAGCTTTCCTGGCTGTCTTGACTGTCCGCTAAACATCTGGAGATTTTGGCATGGCCAAAGGATGCTATAAGCACTGATAAACTGGAAGAGATAGGCATGGTTCCCTCCAGGCCCTGCCTTACTCTTCAAATCATTGTGCCTGCATGTTGCAAATCCCAGCACCAGCACATTCCCCAGTGGGATCACACAATGGGCCTCCTGCTTGGAGGGGTTGGGAATTATGAAACATGGAGCTCCCAACATGATTCATTCAGATGTTCTACATTATTTGCAGTGCAAATTGAAAAGTGCTGCAAGACCCAGCACACCTGTATCTTCTTTTTGCCTTCTGCTTGTACAGATAGCTCAGAGCTTTCAATATCTCCTACTTCACGATTGCACTCAGTGTTTCCAGCTGAAAAAGCAGAGATTTTTTACCTTGTTATCCCAGTTTGCAATGAACAGCTAGGTCTCCAGAGTGTGGAATTACAAGGGAGGGATGTGTATCCAGGAACTGAACAAGAAAAGCAAAGTTTCCATAGGGTTGATATTTTTTCCTTTTATTCTACTGGTTTTACAGTCATAAATGTAGGGAGAATAAAAACTTAAAGTGAGATATTATTACAGAATTGCATAAATACTGTAATAGCCTGAAGTATTTGCAGAACCATACAAACACGTATTCATGAAAAATGTTGCTTGCTGGCATCTCAAGAGGGTTCTCGCAGAATCTGACTGCAGAATCAGCATATGTGAAATATCTGATTACGGGGCATGGTCTCCATCCCCACTGGACTTTCAGGAAGTCTTATAAAGACCCAGAGAACTGTGCCCTGGATGCCTGTCTGCATCATCTGAACGTCCTGATGGCTTCTCATGTGCTCCTTCTGCTCTGTCCAGTACTTAACAATCTCCATACAGTGATAAGAGCCTTCTCTGGTGGCAGGATGAAACTCATCAAGGCTGCAGCAGAAATGATTGCTGGGCAGTGGCTTTTCTGGTCTGTTACTGATGCACAAAACAAGCTTGAAAGCATGGTGGTGATGCTTATTAGTATTCAGTATGGCAGCAATGGAGGAAGACCCTAGTAGGAAGAAAGAAACTTGAACATTAAAAATCAGATGCCAAAAGCTTAAGTTGTCTCTTCAACATAATATAGAATTTGAAAATACAGTATCTAGTCCAAGAAATCAATCACCCTGATCTTCCTTCAGTATTTTAGATAGTCTCCTTTGGGATATAGTTTTCCAGGCAACAGGGTAGCACCTCATAATTTACTGTGCCATGTACACACCTCCTAGAAAGACAGACCATTTAGAAACAGAAGCATTTAAAAGGTGGCAGATTGCATAGTTGAATCCAGGGGAAATGGAGCTAGCTCCTGTGAAAAGACAGATTTTTCAGGGGTTAGAAAGGCCCTCCTGAGGTCCCTAGTCCAACAGCATATTTCCATCATGGCTAACTCCAAAGCTGGATCTGGCAGCTCAAAGGAAAGCTCTCAGTGTCCCCAGGGAAGGAGGTCTGCCAGCCTCTCTGGGTTCCAGTACAGCACCTTTCTCAGGGGAGACTTTTTCCTTCTATCCAGTTGGAATTTCCCTTTTTGCAGTCTGTGCATGTTACCTCATATTTCCTCTGTGCATCTTTGAGGAGAGTTTAGCTACGTTTTTACTGCCTTTATGTAGTGGAAAACTGCAGTTAGATCCCACTTAGCCTTCTTTTCTTTGCCTCTGGCAAAGCCAGTTCCCTCAGTCTCTCTTCGTAGGGCAAGTGCTCCAGCCCCCTGCCCTTTGAAGGGGTATTCCATCAAACCCTCTCTGGTTCCTCAGTGTCCTTCTTCTCCCAGGGAGGCCAGGACTTCACACAACAGTCTGTGCTTCTCTGGAGCACGTGCCTGGAACTCGCTCACCTCATTACACCTCGGCGTAATTAGTAAAACAGGACTGGATTTTCAAAAGGGCTGAACACATAGACCTTCCCATTCCTTCTGTGGAGGGTTGGTAGTTAGCAGAACTACTGATAATGGGCCATATTCACCTTCATTTTAGGGGTGGCTTGTATTTTCCTGAGACAGCAAAGCAGTTGAGAGAGTGCCCGACTTTCAGCATGTGTCCCAGTGCAAACTCCCTAGCCACCAGGACTGGCCAGTAATCAACAAGGCTTGCATGGGAGGGACAGGTAATTTGTTAGCTGGCTCTTTAAAACCTGGACTTGAAGGGCATGTTCACCTTGTACTGCTGCACAGGGAACTGTGCTGAGTCAGCTGTAGTTTGTCAGTACTCACAAGCAGAGAGCTTTGTTCAGCATCACACTATGCATTTGATTGTGTGTAAGATGCTAAATTATTTAATCATTTCAGGCATTAGGAGACTCAGAAAGACTGAAAGCCAAGGGAAAAAGGTCTCCTAAACCATTACATTGCATTAACTACTTTGTTAGATCAGATGATTGACTGGATATTGCCACTGAGCGTGTATCCTGTCACCTGAATGTCTTATTCAGACAAGAATTATAAAGGTCAGGTCTTGAGGTATTAAAAGTCCTATGTAAAGTTTGGGGTGGATGGAATTGAAATGAAGTCTAAAGTGTACTTTTTCTTCATTCGGGAAGTTTATAGCGTCCTCAGGTGCTTATAGCATCCTACATACAGGTTAGTTTTGTGTGTGTGACTGTAAGCTCCTGCCTGTATAATGCAGTTGTGTGCATCCCTTCCTCCATCTCCTGCCATCCATTCTGCATAGAGGGACCAGTTCAAGGGAGAACTGGCTTGCTCCACAAAGAGTGGGTGAGCCAGGAAGTGGGTGAGTCCTAGAAGACTAGGACTGGAGCTCAACAGACCTGTTCAATAGACCGCCTTCTCTTTCTTATGTAGTAGGATATCAGGCTGTACAAATAACTTCTGCAGTTGTATGGATTACAAAAAACAGGGAATGTGGATCTCAGTCACATGATACTCTTATATATAAACTCTGATCCTGAAAGCAAATCCACTAATCCAGGCTTTTAAACTTGCTCAGAACTTAGCTAAAATCAGTGGCTCTATTCCGAGAAGCAAAAAGAGAGTGCTTGAATCATGATTACACAGCTGAAGAAGCTTTTGGGGTCAAATAGCTCCAGCGAGCTGCAAGCTAATTAATTGGCAGCTGGTCCATGTAAAGGGTTGAAATAATGTACCCTTTCCTTAGTAAAAAACCTGAGAGTACTGCTAAATCTCTACTCCCAGTGACATAGGCACAGTGTAGTGGCATAGTCCTCGGCAGTCTCTTGTTGCTGGGCCCTCTACTTATGCAGCATCAAGCCCATGCTTATTTTTAATATTATCGTTTCTGCTAACACCATTGCCAAACCTCCTTTGCTTGGGACTTTGCATTAATTTTTGCTTTCAGTGTGTTCTTCAGGTGTCTACTAACCAAAAAGATATGACCAAGCTCTCTCCAATTCAGAAAGATGTATGCAGCGAAGTTCTGGGGCCAATAATCATCTTCTCCATGTTGGTATGCAACAAATCTTTTCCAGCAGTAACTGTAATCTAGGAAGAGAGATATCCAGTCACTCTTGATGAAAAGATGGCCAGCTCTTTCTTCATTAACATGTCAGTTTGTCACTTGTTTTTCAGTAAGACTACAGTAAAGGGCAGGAGAAAGATATTCATGCAAGGGATTACACAATTAAATACACAAGTAAGTTAGTGGAAAGGGGAACCAAAACTCCAAAACCAGAAATATGTCTAAAAAAGAATAGCCAGACAGCGAAATCACTGTGGTGGCTAGGACAGCCCCTATCAAGAATAGCACATCAAGGCATAAAACCAGAGCACATTTGCCAAGAGAGAAGGAATCAGCAAGGGGAAGGACTGAAAAGGGACTTATTGTCCTAGTTAGGACAGCTGAGACCAGTTCATCATAGTATGGGTGTAACCCAAAACTGTGTATTCTATAGCCTTCCGAGCCATTTCCCAGAAACTGTTATCAATGAACCATTTACACTATCTGCACATAGAGCCTGACTCCTCAGGCTATAAACTAGGTGCTAAGAGGCCTGTGAGATAGGAGTCCTCACACCCAATAAGGAACCCCCTGCCCTGAGGGAAGTACTGAGCATTCCTGCCTGAACTGGAGAATATATAAACTTGGAGTCTTGGGACCTTTTTAACCACTGGTGGGATCCAGAGGAAGACTGCAGACCACTGCTCTCAACCAGACTGCAGACCACCACTCTCGACTGGACTGCAGCCACCACTTTTCAACCAGACTGCAACCATCACTCTCGACCGGACTGCAATCACCACTCTTGACCAGACTGCAACAGCACTCTCACCAACAGGTTTTTCCCTCTCCTTTTCCTTTGGACTCAGGAGGCCCAAAGAAACACCACTCTGTTCATGCCCCAGGGCGCTGGGTTATACATTTGGGGTTTGTGGGTTAAAACCAATTGTTTGTCTGTATAATTGTACTTATTGTATTATTTTATTAAATTGTTATTCTGACTTATAATCTCTCTTTTGAGTTGAGTTCATTTCCCCTGCTGGTTTACCTTTAAACCAGCACACTTATCTCAATGATCAGGGAAAACCTGGAGTGAACACTCCAACATTTATCAGCTTCAGAATGATCTTAGTGTTAACAGGGTGGCCAAAGCTTCTGTCAGTGCTCTGGTGGTATAATCCCAGAGATAGGTTCCACAAGATAAGCAGTGTCCTTTAAGAATGCATTAGACCTGGTGGATTTAATAGCTGCACACTCCAGTAGTAAGTGTCCAGACAGGCGTGTGAGGTTCGTCTCTTCAAATGTACATTCCTTTCTGTGAGCTGCTTGTCCGGACTATCTGTACAGCCAAACATCAACAGGCAAGCAAGATATACACACAAAAAGGCACACGTGCAGGACATATTCTCTGTGATGCATCATCTGAAAGTCTCTATCAAGGGAAAGCAATTACTGGCTGCAGCTGGCAAGCTGATCTGCATATATATGCTAGGAGGGGCAGGTTCTGTCTTAAGCCCAGGATTTTTCACTGCATGTAAGGGAGGTGTGGATGGCTAGAGAAAGCCCTAACTCTCCATGTTCAGATTTGGCAAGAGGAAATGACCAGGTCAGTCCTGCTGCTGTATAGGACTGGGGAAAAAATAAGGCAGAACAGAGTGACATTTTTGCACTCACTAGTCCTCCACAATACCAGTCATCACCTCTATTACAAACTGAGAGTGCACATAGTCCCAAAACTTTCAATCCACAGCTAGACAAAGCCGCCAAAGAGTAGCTGGGTTACCTGCAAGATTCATGATATGTATAGTGACTCCATTCATCACCAGGTTGCAGAGACCTTGCCGGTTGCGTATATCCTGGTGCCTGAACAGCTTGGCTGCGTATATTTCCAAGGTCACATTACGATGTGTCCTCAGGAACTCCAGAATTCTCCTGGAGCATTTTCCACAGGGACTAGTTGAAAGGAACCAGGTGATGGAACAAGGAGCTGGTGGCACATCACTGAAGCAATTTTCCAAGAAGTTGACTTCAGCATGTTGGTTACGATTGTTTGAGAACCAGTTCCTCCAGATGGAACCATTTCTCCACCTGATTTCATAGAGCAGGTACACCACCTGTGGATGTTGGCCAGGCAAATAATTTCTTTTGAAGTCTTTTGGCTGTATCTTCCACCTGCAACAGAAGTACCAGCAGTACTGTGATCCTGGCTCTTCAACAGTGTTTGGTCCTGTTGTGCACTACCTGCTCTCAGCATCAGTCAAGCCTCCCACTTTCAGCCTTTCCCATCACAAATGAGCAGCTTGAAGAATGTCACAATCTAATGATCTAAATCTGGAATTTGATGAAGACTCCAGAACACCCACAGCACTTTGTTGAGAACTGTTGGGTGCATAAGCAGCCCCATCACCACTCAGGGATCAGCACCAGTCAAAGCAGTAAGAAAATGGAAAAGGAAGATTGGGGAAAGGGATGTTAAGAGGAAAACAAGGCACAAGGCTGTCTCTGGAAATCACCATGGAGCTCAAACAGCACACAGTGATAGATGACATCTCTTACCCTTGGTTTTTCTTTCTGGATGCAGGATCTATATGGAAAAGATTTGTAAGTCACTGAGGATAGCAGATCAGAAAACAAAATTTCCTCTACACTTTCTCCCCAGACCCCTTTCAGTCTATACACTCCCTGCCAAATCTCTTTTCTCTAAAAGGACTTAATAAGTAATGTCTGCACAGCAGAATAAGCACTCTGGAATGCAGGAGGGGTGGATTCCTACCTGGGAGTTGAACTTGATGGCTGTTTAAACTATACTCTACCTGAACCCTTGCTCAGTTTAACACATTAGGGTTGATTGTGTAAACACTCGAGTTTAACTTCACTGATTTCAGCAGTACTGCATCTGTTTTTCTCTGACTAATCAAGGAGCAGAATCAAATCTCTTATCCCTTTAAATCTTCCAAACCACTTCTACTAGGCAGGCAAAACTTGAGCTATTTTCCTATTGTAACTCATAATGTCAGTCTAGACAAAAAACATTTTCGCAACCAACAATCCCTTCCTTACTTATTATGAAACCGTTTCAAAAGCTAGAAAAATATAAGTGTCAAGGAAAAAATATAGTGAGGAAAGGAGGATGATTTCTGACTAACAAATACCCAAGGGGGAGCACCACAGAGCTGCCTGATTTTACACATTTTGCCTCTCATGGTAGCAGGCAAGTTTGACCCCATGACTCATTGATCCCTTCCCAGCTGAGAGTGTAGAGAAAAACACTTGATCACTTGCAGGTGATCAAGGCTACCTATTTATTTTGTAAAAATCCATCTATAGTGAAATTAAGGATCGAGGAACCGTAATTTTATTTAATATATTAATTAATTGAAATTTATTTCCCTTTACAAATTTATACATAAATTTTATATAGAATTAAAATTTAAAATAATTAATTTTTATTTTACATATAATATATAATATAATAAAAATAATTTACTTAGAATTGAGATACTAAAGGCAATTTTCCACAGCTTAGGTCTTTAAGATGAGAAATTATGAAATATACAGAGTCAAATTGCATTTCAGCAGAAATAAATAGTCTTCCACATCAACAGAGACATGATCAACTCTTTGCACAGCCATGTTGCCCCGATTCTTTAAGAAGAATATTCTAGTTGTTTATCACAATGAAAATAAAATAAGTGAGTAGATAAGCTAACTAATTTGCTCCATTCTTAATTGCTTTTCAGATCTCTTTCACATTAAAAGTTCTTTTGGATTTTGAATTCTTTCTTCCACATTAAGGTTAACAAAATTATATTAATATTTTGAAGCTGGACCTAAGACTCAATATACGATAATGCATTCAAAGAGATAATACACATATCCACAAGTGTCTCCTGTGTATCCTCATGTGCCAACACAACACATTTTTCCCTACTCTCCAGTTTCTTAGATACAACTACAGTAAATATCTACATTTGAATATGGAGAAATAGGCCTACATTTCACATAAATTTACTTACCTCTGCCACTGACAGCAGCCATGGATGTTTCTGGTTTTGTGTGTCACCTCTTGGCCATTGGATGTGCCTTTATTAGCCTTACATTTGTTTCGGTTTCTATTCCCGAATGCTGAACTTTGGGCGTCTCTAATGTTATTCAGCTGAATGTTTCCTTGTGGTGACTTTTTCTTATGCTTGTTTGCACTACCCCACTGGCTGAAGCTGAAAGCAAATTCCTGGCAGCAAAAGACTGTAAATGGGGTGCTGCCATTCAGAAATGGATCTGGCCCTGAATACAAGGTTACCTTCCAGAAGCTGGAATTAACAGGTGAGACTTTTTTTTTATTTTGCAGTGCAGACAGAAATTACATCTCTTTATTACCTTCAGCTCCAGAATAGAAAAGCGAATCTTCTCTAGTCACCCCAATGCACTGAGAGAAAAGCATTTACACAAATGGCATCAAGACACATAGCTGTGGAATGGCAGATAACTTTTCTGACACCCAGATATATCAGAAAGTTGAGCAGAACCCAATGGAGAGAGGGAGACAGATGACATTACAGGCAAAACCCTGTGAGTCTGCAGTACTCCAGCAGGTGATGGTGCCTGCTGCCATTTCACTTTATGGGACTACTCCTGTGGAGTTCCAAGGACCACTCATACACCCTCGAACCTAGGTCCTCACGTAAACAAAGAAGACCCTCAATGTGTGTGACCACTGAGCTGTGGTCAGTGACTGTGCAGACACTCTCAGGTGAACTTGAAGCAAGCTGCCTATCATCCAAGAGAGCTCCAGCAGTTGACAGCTTTTTGTGAGGGAACACCAAGACATTTTTGAAATGTCACAGCTGAGAAGAGCTCTGTACTCATATGTACTCATCTGAAAAATGAGTGAAACAATGCTAGTTTCTAGTGAAATTTCCTCTGACTGGCCCAAAACTGGCTTGCAGAGGAAAGGGATTACAAAAGAATTCTTCATATGGCTTAGGTAGAATCAGTCTCTGTCACTTACAGTTTTCTCTGGTTTTGTGACACAATTATTTTGTGGCCCTGATGCAAGCTGTAGAAATGGGTCCCTGGTGAGTCATCAACCAGTAATGTGCACTCCCTGAGGATAAAGCCATTGCCTTCTTCAATGCCAAGTCTGACTTGGGATTGTAAAGCCAGGGGAGTGATTTATTTGTATTCTCTGCAGCCAGCTCTCAATATTCTATTGTCAAAAATTGTTCAGTTTCCTGCCAGGGCAGACGAAACATAAGCATAGATGAATGGTGGAGTTCAGAGAGAGTAGGGATTCAGGCATTGTCAGGCCTCTCCTGAAGAAGAAGACTAGTCATGGCAGGTTATCAGGCACTGCAGTGGCAACACAGAGTCTACCTTCAGGGCCTCTTCTGCTGCAAGGTCACCCCTCACTTCACAGCATAGAATTGTTCCCTAGTGGTTGTATTATTTCATACCTTAGGGAGAGTGAATGGGATCGACTCAGACACTCAGACTGTTTCTCAGTAAGACCAGGAATGCATTGCTACTGTAGTACTCTCTTCATTGCCTTCTCCCTGCAGTAGGTACTTACAAATATGCAGATGTAAATAAGGCTTCAAGATGATCTGCAAGAAATGGCTTGATTAGCAGCAGTAGTTCCTGATATAAAACCAGAACATGCCACAGAAAGCAGGGAGAGAAAAATGAGTCCAAACAGAAGCAGGAAATTAGCAACACAACATTTTCAGGTATCTCCAGGAAGCTGAGTGTACTCTATGAAATGGTGGAAAACCAAAAGGAAAAAAAAAAATTAAAAAGGAAATGTTGTTCTGTCATTCCTGCCAGTCTAATATGAAGAGAGAAATCCCTTTGTAATTCCGTTGCTGGTTTAACCTTAATAAAATCAGAAAGACAAGGTTACCACACAAGAGAATTTTTGTACATCTAGAAGAACTTGCACATTCTGTTTACAGGGAAAAGACTTCAGTGAGTCAGAGGAAGATGATGGCCTCAGATCATATATCTGGGTGGGAAAAACCTGTTTCTTGGTCTTTATGAGCAAACAGCAGTAATCCAGTATACCTTTAAATTGCTATGTGCCTGTAGCAATGGTCATATGTATAGGTGGAACCTCATATTACTCAAACAGCTGTGAAAAATTTTTTATTCTACTTCTCACATAGTCAATTATGTCCCCTTACAGAAGTTGCTTACGGAAGGTAATGTTAGAGATAAATGTGAAGGTGATTTGTGATGCAGAGCTATTGGTAACATCTGAATATATCTCACCCACTCCAGCAAATGTTTGGGGTTTTTTTAAGGAACCAGCACTCTCATATGCATGCCTCATGAACCTAAATGCATTTTGGAGGAACATACATAGGAAAGGGCACACAGAATGGTGGACATACACTCACTCGTGACTCCTTTAGCCATCAGGTTCCTTAGACCTTCATGAGAATATTCCCTTTGGTAGTAGAGTCATGTCGTATACATTTGACCAGATTCACCGTGGATAATAACCTAGAAGCTTCACAATTTCTTCAGAACACTTTGCAGAGGGCCTCCGAGATATGCACTGAATGATAGAGAGGGGGACAGAGAAACAGGGAACTAACTCCCTACAGATGTCTCCCAGGAAACAGCAGCATAACAGTTCTGCAGCTATGATGTATTACAGAGGTGGTGTCTACTGATGTACTACTCCCCTAATTTATCTCGCTGAGTCACCTGTGTCTCACATAGTTTGTATTTTTCTCAAATGTCTTTTGGTTTATGTGACACCTGAAATCCAAGAAGCATGTCTAGTAACAAATTCGGGCTGAGGTAAAGTCCTAGAAATGGAAACATATGGAAGAAATTAGGGAAGACAGACAGGTTAGAAGAAAGAGGAGCACAGAGGAAGGAAAGTGAGGTCAGACATCAAAGAGGACAAAAAGGGACAAGGTTTGAATCAGCCCAGATCCCAATTTGCAAATCTCTGAGAATTTTACAGATACTCAGCTTCCTATTCTCTAGCTGAATGATCTGTTGCAAAGAGGTGAGAATCGCTCAGTGGAAGTTTGGAAGCAAAGAGGAAGACAGAATTTAAATGTTACTAAAAGCCTGGGGCTTATGCTACAGAGGCTTAGGTCTCAATCTCAGTTTACAGGCTGCCTCCTGGTCTTAATTTGAAATGGTAAATCCTGTGTTAGTTCAAGTGTTCTGCTGCTGGCACATTTGACAGTAAAAAGAAAATCCACTGCATGCTTGTTTGATTTTAATGGAGTTTTCTCAGTAGATATCTATATTTTTTATCGAAAGAAAGACCACACACAAAGTGTTTTAAGATTTACTCTGTGAACTTCACATATAAAAAAGTCTAAAATGTCTCTATGTATGAATCTATATGTATGAATACACACTCACAAAGATGTTTACAGATATTTATGTATGCACAAAAATGCAATAAAGCATATAAAAAAAGGCTTGTAGATACACAAATACACCTCCTTAGGAGCATAGAACTTTGGAACTCTGATTGATAAGCACACCTACCCTTGGCTCTTTTATCTCTCACAGCACCTTTGCTTTCCATTCCTCTGCAGGTTGTACAGCGTCATCAGACTTCATTGAGACTCTTATTCAGCTTCTGCATGTGGAAACCGAAACTTAAGAGATTAAGATAACTGGTGACACTGTGCTGCTGCTGGGTGAGCTTTATGAGTCTGACTCTGTTCAACGAAGTGGAATGACAACCAGACACAAGGGTGTGCAGGCAGAGCCCTGACCCAGGCAAAGTGGAAAACAGGCAGCTAGTAGGAAGCGCTTACCTGAGTGTTAACTTCAGTATTAATTTTTCTTAGCTAAACAAAACATCCCAATATCCTTGTAATATAATTTTTTCACATTGACTGGTGAGGCTGCAGAAATCAGAGAAGTGGACCAAAGATACCTCATGAGGAGGCAAGCTGTAGCAACGACAATTTAAACACTTTTGAACAGCCTGTGGATGAAACCTCTCTGAATAAAACATGGCAGTGATCTTTGAACAGCCTGTGACCACAGGGAGTTCAACTTTTAAGGGGAGGAAGAAAGGAAAAAGGAAAGATAGGAAAACAGAGGTAGAGAAAAAAAGATCTGGATCACCACACAGGGTTCCAGTGCCGTCTCTGGTCCGGTTCCTCCAGATGGTGGGTGCATGGATGGTGGGTGCACACCCTGCCCCTCCGTTGCACTATTTATAGCCTAGTCCTCACACATGTACATGTTATTCTCGAACTTTTCAGAAGGGGGTTGGGGAGTATCGTGGTTTCAATTACCCTCCCCCATCTGAAACACAAGTGCAATGCTGTCTCAAATTTAGTTTTTAGACATAGTTACCTAAGGAAGTTGGACCCAGAAAAGCACTATCCTGCCTCCTTAAGACCCCCTTTTCTAACTGCACCTTGTCTTGTTTGCATGGTAACATTCCTTTTCTCTTCTGCCAGGTGTTTGAGACATTAACTCTTTCAGGTTTTCAGTCTCTCACAAGACTGCAGTCATCAGTCATAGTCAGCACAGGTTCACAAGGGGAAAGTCCTGCTTAACCAACCTCTTTTCATTTCATTATAAGGTCACTCATCTAGTTGACCAAGGGAAGCAAGTAGATGTAGTGGGTTTGGATTTTAGTAAAGATTTTATACTACTCTCACAGTATCCTTCAGGATAAAATGTCCAGCACACAGAGAGACAAGTCCATAGGGCGTTGGGTGAGCAATTGGCTGATAGCCCAAAAAGCTACAGTAAATGGGGTTACATCAGGCTGTTGACCAGTCACCTCTGGGGTTCCTCAGGGCTCAGTTTTACTGCCAGTGATCTTCAATGTTTTTATAAATTATCTGTATGCAGGAATCAAATGTAGGAATCAAAATTAAGTACTTATGTCAATTATATTAAACTAGATGGAACTGTGGACTCCCTTGCGGTTAGAGAGATCTGACCCTGCAGAGAGATCTGGATAGACTGGAGAGCTGTGCAGTCACCAACTGAACAAAATTTAACAAGAGTGAGTCTTGGATTCTCCAGCTGGGACAGGACAATTCTGAAGTAATCCTGAAACTGACTTTCTTGTGATCAGTGACAGGACTGGACTAAATGGAATGAAGCTGCATTAGTGGATGTTCAGCTTGGACATTAGAAAAAGGTTCTTCATTGAGAAGGTGGTCAGTCACAGAAACAGGATCCCCAGGGAAATGGTCACAACATCAGGCCTGTCAGAGTTCAAGAAGCACCTAAATGATGCTTATTAGTCATATTGTTTGGTTTTAGGTCATCCTGCAAGGAGCAGGGCGTTGGACTTGACGATCCTTTTGGGTCACTTTAACTTGAGATATTCTGTGATTCTTCGATTCTATAAATGAAGATCCTAAAATGAAAATAGAAATATAACATTTAGATCCTCTAATTGCACTTTGGACCTGCTGTGATTTGTAACAGACATAATCAATGACCCCCTTAGCCATAGATTTCTTTCACTCTGTTTCACTAAAAATAGCATTTGTCAGAAAACTCTAATACAGTGAAATCAAAGTGCTACAGCACCTATATTAGTTTTGCTAGATTTTTTTTTGTACACTATATTTTTTTCCACATTCCTTTCAGGCCAAGAATGTGGACCTATTCATTCAAGCACAATCTCTTGTCTCCAGGGGCACAAACTTTCAGCACTGTTATTGAAGACACTCTCTCTTCTGTCTCCTGCCTTTCAGGAGGTCTGGCACAAAACAAAAACAAAGGTTGAATTTTCACAGGGGACAGACATTCTCTTTTGAACAGCTTTTCTCATCTCACAGACACTGTACCCTTCCAGCCAGTCATGGAATTTGCTGAATCGAATCTGGAAAGGACTTCAATGAAGTATTATAGAGGGGCCCAGTGACTGGGAGGCTGTCAGACCACTGCAGATATTGACAGAAAGGGGTTGGGTAGCATCATTTGGTGAACTGAAACCCATGCTCAGATCTGGGTTATAAAGGAATCTGGTGGAGGGTTTCTGGGATAAGACTGGAGTTCCAGGTAAAAATCAAGGGATTTCCCACTCTGGAACCTGAAGGAGAAAAACTGCCCTCTTAGCCTGTGCTTCATAATATGATAGAAAAAACCCCACAGTGCTTTTCTCTCAATGGGACAGGATAGTTCCCATGATTTTACTATATTACTGTTTCCAAAAAGTCTGCTGCAGCACTCTTTAAACTCCTACTAGATGTGAATAGTTTCTTTCCTTCTCTTTACAGCTCAGTTACCCCAGATTGCAAATCAGCATTCATGTGGTTCCCTCTATTGCTCAGAAATCTACTAACCTCTAAGATGTCGCAGAGTTTCGAACAATTCTTTGTTATCTCTGACTCAAAGTTCACAGTCCAGAAATCATCATCAGCACCTCCTTGGATAAAGTTTTTCCAACAGTCCTTATAGTCTGGAGAAATAGAAGCAAGATGATTAACCTGAGTTTATTCAGATGCCAGAGAAGCTCATGGAACAAGACTTTTTAACCTCTTTCTTGTGTCCGTGTCATAGAGACAGCTTGGCCATGGACAGGTCAGCTGATGGATGCTGTCCACTCCATATTTGGAACCAATGCCATTCTCCCTAGGCAATTTTTTCCCCTCTTTTAAATGCAGAGGAGCCTTTCAGCCAGCCTCATCCTAGCAAATGCATTTAGTCCCCTAGGAGAAGAGAGAAGGACCTTATCTCTCATCCCTCAGGAGTGACATAAATATAGTATCTCTAAACAAGGGAGAATTTTCATACAGGTCTGGTTCCTAAGAATCCTGTCCCTCTTCTCCTGCAATATTTTAACATCTGTTTTTGGATGCAACATTCAGTCACCAAATGATTGATGTGCCCTCAGAGAAGCCGGGAAGAACACTGGGCACAGAAGCAAGCCCATAACAGACACAAAGTTCACTGGTTCACCCTTTCCCAACCCCACAAAGCACAGGAAAACTTGCCTTCCATGTTCATGACATTAATGCTTACTTGCGTCGACCTCGCAAGTTCCTTCAGAGCTCTGTGGGTTCTTTTTGAGTCTTTGAAATAAAGCCGTGCTACATGAATGTCTATGTTCACATTCTCGTGCCTCTCTAAGAAATCCAGTATTTCATTGCAGCAGTTCACACAGGGGCTCCAGGACAGGTACCAGGTGATGGAACAGTTGACATTACTGTATGGTTTCATTCTAAAGATTTTCTGCAGAAAGTAGACTTCAGCATGATAATAATCACCATGACAATTTTTGACCCAGTGTATCCAAGATCTGTCGCTCTCACCCCATCGCAGTTTGCACAGTAGATATGTCTCCCGTGGAAACTTAAAAGGATCAAACTGGTTTTTTAACACCTTCTTAGATATATACATGCTGAAACAGAAGAGAGATTTCAAGAAATCACTGGTTACAACTTTGTTTTCGTTAGTACTCCAGTACACGAAAAAGGGGGAGGGTGCAGGAAATGAGAGAACTGAGAAGGGCAAAACACGAGAGAGCAGTGCAGAAAAATGGGGAGGAAGGCACGACAGCGTGAGGGAGCTAAACCCTGAACCACTAATCCTCCCTATGGCCGTCCTCTTCCTTATCAGTGTGAGTATTTCTGAAAGCTTTCTACATTTTTTTTTTAATGTGCCAGATATTTTTACAGGGCTTCTATCTAGCCCTTTTCAGTCTAGGCAGCCATTGAAAAATTTTGTCAAAACTAAAAAAAAAAAATAAAAAACAACCAAACCACCCATAAACTATGAAGCTGAATATTTCTTTTTATTGGATTCTCTTGCTGATTGTATTTTCATAAAGATTAGGACAGTCAGCACAATTCTACATGAGAGAAAAAAAATAAGTGCTCTATACAAAAAGATGCAGCTCCCAAAAGTGATATTTTTTGACAGATAGTCCATCTCTTAGATCCAGACCTTTTCAGTTCAGAAAAGACCTTTACATACTGCCAATTAAGTACCTATACAAAGACTTCCAGTGTTGGTCATAAATGTATCCTTTATATTTAGTAATTATCTGTAATACATAAATAAGAGACAAAGTCTCCAGAGGCACTTTGTAGCTTCATGCAATTGCCTTGTATAGAGATTTATATGAGAATGCACTTCAGATATATGTTTTTCCACATTAGAGTAATCTGGGGCAAATATAGTAGACAACTGAACAAATTCTTAACAAAAAAGCAATAAGCCTACAGATTATTCTACAGATTAGCACTCACTAATAAAATTTAAAAAAAAAAAAGAAAACTAAACCAAGTAAACAAAGAAAAAAATCCCACCACTAAAAAAAACCCCAATCTGAACAAAGGACAAATGAAATCTTGCAGATCAAGTAACTGTCACATATTCTCTAGCTTCAAGACTCATCACCTACTTAAAAATCACATCATTTATCAGAGTCAGTCAATAGTCTCTGTGTTCTTATCCTGTCTCCTCTCTCATCCCAGCCTCCTACATGCTAAAATACATATGTACACAAACCATTTTATAAACACAGAATGTATCTCTCTCTTTATTTCTCCATGCAAACTCCATTTATATAAACCACAGACATCACGCGTGTACATTTCTTTATCAGACTTTCTATCAAATTTATGTAAATGTAACAAACGTAAATGCCACGAAATGTTTAATTCTGGTACAGGAATAACTTTTTTATTACATATAATTTCTTTACTATGTCATTAAAAAAACAATAAAGAGAGACAAAAGTGAAGCACAGGCTCAATTTTTATGCTTTCTCATTTGAGGTGTTAAAAGAGATGCATTTTTTCTATTTATTTTATGTTATTTGGAAGTTAATGTTTATTAGCTTAAATTTCCTTAAATCTTGATTGTTAGGGAACATATATACATAAAATAATTATATCATATGTTCACAATAAATATATAACTGGTTGAAGTTACATATAAATATGTAACTGGTTGAAGTTCACCAACGAAAATACACTGAATTCCAAATACTCAAGCCCAATCAGTTAATCTAATTATTACAGAAGGTATCTTTAATGTTTTGGAAAGTGATATTACAATAGATTACAGAGATCTGATTTGTTCAAAGGTATCTGTAGATGTTGCCATCCGATTATAACATACAAACAAGTTAAATCTTCCAAGTCTTACTTAAACTGGTCTAAAAGCACCTTCTTGCCTGTGTTTTGACCATAAAATATTGCACTTTGGATAAGTGGATGTCTCGTGCATATTTTCAGGGACATAAAGGCATTTCTTTAGAACAATCTTGCAATACACTAATCTTCAAGATACACCCACCCTAGAGATGTGTTCGGCCAAGAGAAATTTATGGTGTAATCAACTTAATGCAATATAAGCAAAAGTCTTCATACTTATAAATATTTGCTATATAGCAAGATGTAACTTGCTATTTTGTAAATAATATATTAATGTTAATTCAAACAGCTTTAACAGACAACAAATTTAAAAACAATCATAAAACATTCACACACTAGAGAATATATATAGAATCACATAATCCTTTCATCTATTCTTTTTTCTCCCCAAACAAGAAGAGAGAATACTTAAAATAAATTGTGAGTTTACAGGTAAATTGCCAAAAGCCGTGCAATCGCTTCAAGTTTTTTTTTCTTTTTATAGTTTTCACAAGCAGTCCTTGCTGTTCAGCATTTTTATGTATGGTACATATATACACTCAGCCTAACTTAAGTTAGAGCCTAACTTAAAAAAAACCCAAGCACTTAACAGCTGGTTCCTTGATACAGATATGACACAAAACTGAGTTAGCACATAATAAAATAAATAAAAAAGAAAACATTTTTAGTTTTCTTTCTAAATTTGATTCATCAGTCTCACGAACCTTTTCAGAATTTAAGAGCTGGAGAGAAGTACATCAACTGTAAAGAGTGACTGAGAATTTAAAAGGTGGACTGTACCCTAAAACATTTAGAGAAGTTAGGGGAGAAAATGGCAGAGGGATGACACCCAACATAACTGTCTCCTAGGCTTTACTTTCTTTTTCATTAATATGCAGCTGCTATATAAATGTGCATTGAAACTTGAAAATTAAATTGACTGATTACAAATATATTTTAAAATCTGTTATTTATAAATTTGCTATTGCATTGTTCCATCCTCCATAATTTGAACAGGAATGCTATGAGACTATTTTAAAATTTTACCAAAAAACCTAATATCTCTCATTAAAACTTTGTATAATAAACCGCATCATTATAGACATTTAATAATTTTCCTTCCTTCCTCTACCACTTTTTATTAGAAACTATTTAAAATTCTGCTCATTGCAAGATAATAATAGTAATAATGATAATGTCTAAAAACACACAACCATAGATGTGTCAAAACTTCTTCAATCTGCATTTTTCCTCCCTTGCTAATGCTTCGCACAACCGAGGCATTTCTTTACTAAACTTTGCATTAAAAGCTTTTTTCCCGCCTCTGTTGAACAGAAAACGCCTGGTCTGACACTTCATTTTGTGCCACAACAGCTGTTTGAAGACCTTGGAACTGTCGAGCAGGGAAAAGAGCCATTTTTGGATTCCCCTGCTGCCTGGCACTGGGGTGAGCCAGCCTTAGCCCTTCCCCGGCACACCCCCATCTTTCCTTTGCTTTTGTCAGTGCCTTTTGTTTCTCGATGGTTTATGGCTCCCGTGACAGCTTTTATGCCGGTGGGAACTTCCTCAGCAGGCTCAGACTTCGGTGCAGCTCCTCTTGGGACGGGGCTCCTACTCGAGCACACTGGCACCAGTGTCGCCCTCGCCCTTCCCCAAGCAAGGCAGAGACTTTGCACTGACAGAAAGCACCCCCCTGGGGCAGCAAAGCGAGGGGTCCCCTTGGGTTGAAGCAACGACAGCATAGAGCTGAAGCTGGGGTGGGTTTTTTTGGTCACCAGTTTCTTTTACCCTCTCATCTTTTTCCTGTACATGGCTTCTCCTCTCCCGGCGGACCCTTCTGGTGCTGTCCTCCTTCCTGCTCCCGCAAACGGGGCTCCGCGCACGGCCGACGCTGGAGCAAATCCCCAGGCTCTGCGGGCTCAGGGTGACGTAAGAGGAAACAGGAAAACTTTGCTTGACCGCAGTTCCACCTCGTAATGACATGTCCGCACATGCCTGCTCTTAGCAGTGCTCTTTCCGCTCTCCTAACTCCTAAGATGGGAAGCAAGGGCTGATACACGTTTTGGGTTAAAAAACATAATAATTGAACAATCTCTTTGAAGCCTGCTTCTAAGTTTCAAAGGGATGATAATGCTTCCTCAGCAGAAAAATGAGATTTATTCTTCTGTGTGTTGCAAATAGTCTGATAAATAATTAGGATTTAATTACATAGAAGAAGTAGTTGTGATAAAATAATTGAGATTTGATCATATAAAAGAAGTAGTTCATTCAATTAAAGGTAGGAAATTGTGAAGCACAATGTGCAGAATTGTTAAGGAGTGTTATGTTTGAAGTATGCACCCATGGATATCTTGCCAAGAAGTTACTGGACCTTGTATGTTAAGTTACTGGACCATATATGCTACTTGGAAACCCCCTCACCCCTTCCCATCTTGATCTGTGTATCAGGGATTCCAATCAGTTAAACTATGTAGAATTGACCAGTTATTGTATTTGGAATAAAGATATATAGCCTATAGAACCAATTATTGTAGAGGTTAGATTTAAGAATGGACTTACTTAAGAGAGAAGTAGTAGTATAAAAATGAATAGAAGAATGGGCTTATGTAACGTGTAGGACACTCCTCCCATGGACACAGCTTTTTTGAATGGCAGACAGACCTTTCCTGAAGGTTGAAAGCTTTCCTCTGTTGAAAGCACAGTAGTTCTGCCTCGTACATTGCCAGACCTTTCCATGCTGTCACAGCTTCATCAAGGATGAAGTGCTCACAAATACCACTGATGAGAGACTTCACTCACAAAGTGTCAGCAAAACTTACTTTCCCTATCAAACCCAGGAGACTTTCCTCTGTGGAGAAAGAGAGGGGTCCATGTACTGGGAACCATGCAGCAAGCATGGCATTCAAGGAGCTGGTAATCTCAAACAGACCATATCTGCTCACTTGTGCTTAGAGACTGAGAAACCTGTACATTCCTAATTTCATCTGTAATTTCTATACACTGGTCTGTGCTGCGCTGTGCTGCACATGCAGCATGGCCCTCAGGCCGCACAGATCCCTTGCTCTCAGGAGAAATGTAGCTGGTGGATTGTGACAAGGGAGCCTGGGGCAGCTCCTGCCTGGCACCAGTGGCTGTACCACCCACTTGGCAGTCGCCAACCAACCCTTATCTATATGTGCAGCAGGAAGTTCGAACTTCCTGTAGGAACAGAAATGTGTCCCTGGAAGAAAATATATAATAGCTCAGGTGA